TATCAGTGCTTAAACTAAAAGCAAGTAATTAAAATTCTAGCCCTTAACAGGAACTTTCAAATTACAATTATTTTTAAAATCCTAAAGTTGAATAAGGTCTAAATTTTAGAAATAGTCAACTCTACACATAGAGGTATAGAAATCTATTAAAATATAACTCTATAACACTTAAAGTGACTTTGGTCACAACTCCACCCCCTTAGTTATGAGCTTTTTTTATAGGATCTTATTTGTAATACCCAGTCATGAACAAAATAATCATGTACATGTGAACTGGTAGTCATCTTTCATTAAATTCTGTGTAAATGTAACACTGCCCTATAGGAAAGAAGGTAAATAGTTTGACCTTTATCTCCCAATTATCTCCTGGCAATAAGAAGGATATGTTTTGACATTAATTTCCTATTTCCATAACTTAAAAAATAAGCCCCTCTGATCCGAAGCTGGGAAAAAGTGAGAGACAAAACGTTAAAATGTATCATTAACATATTTACCGGTTTGATTCGAAGCTGACCGCCCACCACCTCAAGAATCGCATGTCTTCTGGACACTCTCTTGTCTGTTATCTACAGTGGGAAAAAATAAAAATTTCAAATACAGCCACCTCCCCAAAAAACAACAACCACAACAAATCATGATTGTCCTCATTGAACAAAAAACCAAAACAACTCAGAGATTAAGAGACCTGCCCCAAATTTAGAGAATAAATGGCTAAGCAGAGACTCAAGCTTGCAATCTAACACATCCCAAAACCTACATAATGGTTTCCATTCAAGGCAGACATTTAGTGGGGATTCTTATCAATAATATTCATAAAATGAGAAAAAATCTATATAATATGTACTTATTAGAAAATATTTCAGATACAGGAAATGTAGTGTAGGTTATGATGACCAACGGCTTTTAAAAGCAGCAGTCCACTACGTGTAAAAGATAAGGCTATAGGCTTTGGGGTCAAGCAGACCTGCGTTTGAGCTCTGGAGCCATCAACACTACTTAAGACAACAGGAAGGTAGGAGAGGGAGTAGTGACAATCAAATGTTTACAGTGAAGACAAGACTCTCATCTAATATATAAATCTGCTTTCTGTGTTTGAACCAATAGTGCTCTACTTATGCTCACAATCATTTCTGCACACAAAAGTTTAAAAACTGTTTGCACTTTAAATGCTAAAATTGCCAATCAAGCCCTGGCTGCATGGCTATCAACACAATAGTTCAGCTTACCTTTGTCATTTATGGCTGATTCATGACAACATTTCAAGCAACAATTTAGGATAATTATTTGGTCCATCTTATGGTTACCTTGGTATCTATCATTTACCCACATCAAAACCAAAATTATAGGTAAAAGCAGACTACAGCTATGCCTAAATTCAATTAAATCCATTAGATTTGCAAAACCTGGCAAAATGTGAAACTACCAGGAATCAATACCCATTTTTTTAAGCCAGAGAGCAGTTCCACACTTAAGACGGTAACTGAAAAGTAGTAACATCAAGCATCACAGCAGAATGAATTCCACATCCATAAACTGTCCACACAGCTGCAAGTTAATATTTAGAATATTTTCTAAAATAAAATATCTTTTTTATTGTTGAAAATATTACAGATGCCCTCTCTTTCCCCCACTGTCTCCCCTCCTCCTCACTCTTGCCCCCTCTCAGACCTTGATTGAACTAAGTATCTAATGGCAGCCCTATTAAAATTAGCCACTATTAGCCACTATGGTTATTTCAGAAAAGTAAGTATAAACTATAATGTATCCTACCAGAAAAGAAAGGATGGAAATTCATTAGTTCCTATAATCTTCCCAATAATGTACCTTAGTAGGCCAAAATCAACAGCAGTTATCTGGTAACCCACTTTACCATTTGCATACAGCTTTCACTTAAGTGTTGAGATTCACTATAAACAGTACTCAATACTGTTATAGCTATTATTCACATTTTACATATTTGGAAATTGAAAGCTTAGAGAATTTAAGTAACTTCTGTAGGTCATTTTTGAGTAGGTAGTCCTCCAAATTCATACTGTTATTAATAAAAATATGTGAGAAAAATATTCATGTGATTCTACATCTACATGTAATCATTCAGACATAGTTTCAATAAATGCAAATTATTCTGTGGCTGAGAGTAAGAAGTTTATATTTCTAACTCGAATACTAAGATCTCATTGTTAAGTTCAATAATACAAGTCAATTTGCTAACCAATACTATCCTGTATTATAAAAGCCCAGCGACCAAAATGGCAGGATGACCAGAATGACCACGGCCCCTCGCCCTGGCTGGCCCCACACCCCAGTGAGCAGTTAGAGGTGATCAGGCAGGCAGGCAAGTGGTTAGGGGTGATCAGGCAGGCAGGCAGAGGCAGTTAGTGGTGTCAGACAGGCAGGCAAGTGGTTAGGGGCAATGAGGCAGGCAGGCAAGTAGTTAGGGGAGATCAGACAGGCAGGCAGAGGTGGTTAGGGGTGATGAGGCAGGCAAGCAGAGGTTGTTAGGAACAATCAGGCAGGCAGGCGAGTGGTTAAGGGCAATCAGGCAGGCAGGCAGAGTGGATGAGGTGATCAGGCAGGCAGGCAAGTGGTTAGGGGCAATGAGGCAGGCAGGCAAGTAGTTAGGGGAGATCAGACAGGCAGGCAGAGGTGGTTAGGGGAAATTAGGCAGGCGAGTGAGCAGTTAGGAGCCAGAGGTCCGGATTGTAAGAGGGATGTTCAACTGCCGGTTTAGGCCCAATCCCCAGGGATTCCTGCGGGATCAGGCCTAAACCAGCAGTTGGACATCCCCCGAAAGGTCCCTGATTGCGAGAGGGTGCAGGCTGGGCTGAGGGATCCCCCCTCCCATGCACGAATTTCATACACCGGGCCTCTAGTAGAGTAATAAACTGTCAAACATAAAACCATGACACATAATGATGGTTCTTGTAATTGTCCAGCTTAGGTCTCTTTTTTTCCAATCTATATTTTTGCAGGAAGCAATAATAGACTCTTCCTAGCTGTCTGAAGTAGGCTTCACTGACAGACACACCAGCAAGAAAGATTTTTAAATAATATAAAAGTATAATATGACCTCTAGTGGTCATATGACTCCATACAATGTAATTTCATTGCTAGATGTGCATCTCTATAAAGAACCAAAAAAGTGCTTTAAAGTCTTTGAAATTAACATCCCTCAGGCATTTAGCTATAATCGTCCCTTTTAAACCATACCTCTAACAAATGAGTAAGTTTTAAAAATATTATGTTTTCTCAATGGAAAGCTTAAAGGTTTAATAAATTATCATTAAAGCTTATTTTAATTTCAGGATGGGGTGAGAAGGGTGGGTGGTAGGTGGAAGGTAGGTCACAAATAAATTATCCTAAATATCTTAGGACCTACTTTTTTTTTTTTTAATATATTTTATTGATTTTTTTTTACAGAGAGGAAGGGAGAGAGATAGAGAGTCAGAAACATCGATGAGAGAGAAACTCCGATCAGCTGCCTCCTGCACATCCCCCACTGGGAAGTGCCTGCAACCCAGGTACATGCCCTTGACCGGAATTGAACCTGGGACCCTTCAGTCCGCAGGCCGACGCTCTATCCACTGAGCCAAACCGGTTTTGGCAGGACCTACTTACTTTAACAGTTGATCACTGCTCATTGTGCAGAATGAATATCCACACATTGTTATTAATATATTAACTGTAACAGCAATCATGTATCAAGAACACTATACATATCATGTATTATCCTTTTTAATCTTCACAAAATCTGTGAAGATACTATTATCTTCATCTTTATAGATGAGAAATGGCGGTACAGAGACATTAAGCAACTATGTGAAGTTATGTAGCCAATGAGCAGTGGAACCAGGATTTGAACTCACAGAATCTGATTCTAGAGATACCTTTGCTCTTAACACTGTACTGCCCTCATCATCATTAGGTTAAACATTATTTTTTTAGATTATTTACTACAATATACAAACAAAACTGGAAATAAAGCAGAATGGCTATTTAACCAGCAAGTAGACATTCTGAGAAAATTTAAGCTCTAAATAAAGCTCCAAGAGGTCTCATTTCTCACTTGGTGCTGTTTATTCTAACGGTCATATCCAAGTCTAACAAGATGTGTTATCTAAATTCCCAATTCTCTATTCACAGTAGAGAATAAAGTGGACAGGGTTTAGTAATCAAAGCATTGACAATGGGGTGGGGATAGGAGAAATGACTAATGTTGGTTTGCAAGTGGAAAGAGAAAAGCTATAGAAAAGCAAAGAAACCCCAGGATTCAAAAAGAATATGCTGGCTAGAAGCCATTGAGAGTAGGGACAAATAGCATAACATCCTTCAAAAGGTACTAAAATCTTACCCCAAAAGTTTGCTTATTGATTATAGGAGTCATCAATAAATGAAAACTTCATTTGAAAGTGAGACATTTTGGTATCTTAGCCATAAAAATAGTTAAAATCACGGAATTCCAGTTTCATATGAATAACGATAGCCACCTGAAAATCCCAATATACCACATACCTCCCACCATATCTAAGATCAATAAATAAAGCAAATAAAACCAACTATATCACACATCTAAAGTACTAGGAGACAGACATCACCACAAACTTTAATTTACATGTAAGCGGGGAAAGAGACATCAAATGCAGAAGATCAAGCTTCAGGACCTATGCTGCAACTGACAGGTGGCAACTGGGAGGAAAAGAAAAAGAGAAGAGAGGACAGTGAGTCACAGATAATCTCACTCCCAGAAGAAGTCACACCTTGAGTGGGAAATGCTGAAAACACATCTCACATCCAGCAGTTCAGACGGCCAGAAAAACTGGGAATAACTCAGGCATCAATATAAATAATGATTATAATGGAATATAACACAAACAATACAAAAATAATCCATGAATTCATACTGAACTCAAGAAAGGGACTGGGGCTAAAACTAAGAGTAAAAGCCTTCCTTTATAAAAAAAAAAAAAAAAAAAAAAAAAATGCCTGCTAAGGTAGAAGAAAAAAAAAGTATCCAAAAAAATCACTATTTTGTAACCACCAAAGTATGAGCTGACTCAGTAAAGGATCAATGGATGTTAATTTTCAGGTGAAACCTTGATGGGAAACAATATTCATGAAGTCTTAAGGCATCACTCCACAGACTACTCACAAAGGGAATGTCCTCTTCACGGGGAGAAGACTGGCACCACCTTCCCCAGCTCATCACACTAATAACATCACGGCAAACAGAACTACCAAGAGATGGGCCTCCTGACACGCTGCGCCCAGTTCACATCACCTATGGAATTCTCTTACCCAGAATGCTTAGCCTGAGTCTAACTATGTGGAAACTATCATTCAAATCAAACTTGTGGGCATTCTATGAAGTCAATGGCCTGGACTCCTAAAGCATTAGTGCTATGAAAGACAGAACAGGTCTAGATTACAGATTATATATATGTTGTTGTTGTTAATCCTCACCCAAGGATATTTTTTCATTGATTTTTAGAGAGTGTTAGGGAGGTGAAGAAACAGAGAGAGACAAACATCTATGTGAGAGAGACACATCAATTGGCTGCCTCCTGCATGTGTCCCAACCAGGGCTAGGGATCAAGCCTGCAACTGAGGTATGTAACCTTGACCAGAATAAAATCCAGAACCCTTCAGTCTGCTGGCCAACATTCTATCCACTGAACCAAACTAGCTAGGACCAGATAATATTTGATTGGATCCTAAATTGTTTTAAATGCTAAAAAAAGAAATTACTGGAGAAGTTGGATAAAATAGAATGTGGAATATTAAAATTTATTATAGTTACAAATTTCTCGAATGTATTTATTTTCTAGTTATGTAGAAACGTCTTTGTTTTTCAGTAAAACGTGTTGACATACTTAGGGATAAAGTGCCATAATACGTGTAGTATACTATCAAATGGGTTCAAGAGAAAGAAAAAGACAAAGTAAATACGGCAGTATGTTAACTATTAGTTAACCTAAGTTAGGATATATGTGTGTTCATTGTACTATTCTTTCAACTTTTCTGTAGGTCTGAAGTCTTTCAAAATGAAAAGTTCAGGAAAAAATAACTAATATTTCAAAAATGTTGGTACTTAAGAGTTACCATCAAGTTAACTAGAAAATGTAGTGTACATGATTGCTAAATAACATGATAAATATAGTATATTTCTATTTACAGTCTCCTCAGTAAAATAAGCATCTTTCTATTACATGTAATTTAACTAGGCACCACAACTGAT